CCTAAATCATCCATCTTTTTAATCATTTTACTTTCTGTATATCTGGGTTTTGGTTTGGTTATTTTTTCTGACTTTATATAATTTTTTATTTCAATTTCATCATTTTCTTTTAAATTTAAAAATTCTTCATTTATATCATTTAAATTAATATTTTTAATTTTTAAAAAACCTTCAAAAATTATTTTTTCTTCTTCAATTAAAAACAAAGATTCTGTTTTTAAATCTTTAAATATATATTGTCTTGTTATTCCTTGAACATCTGACATAAATGAAGAAAAAGTACGATTATAAATTAATTTATATAAATTAAATTGTTCTTTTGTTAAAAATTCTTTTATTTTTTCTGGTTTTAATTCTATATCTGTAATTCTAATTGCTTCATGTGCATCTTGAATTTTTTGTTTATTTTTTTGTTTGATTTTTAAATTATTTGTTTTTTTCAAAAATTTATCACCAAAATCATTTTTAATTTTAATATTTATATTTTTTTTAAAATCTGAACTTATTCTTGTTGAATCAGTACGTGGATATGTAATTAAACCTATAATATTATTATTGATTTCTATTCCCTCATACAATTGTTGAACTAAAAACATAACTTTTTTAGATGAATAATTTAATTCAGACATACTATTTTGTAATAAAGTTGATGTTTTAAAAGGTTCAGGTGTTTTTTTTATTCATTTTTTATCATTTAATTTAAAAACTATTAATTTTTTATCTAAATTTTTTAATAAATCATTAATTTTATTTTCATCTTTAAATAATAATTTTTCTTTTTTTTCATTTATTAAAATTAAATTTTTATTTAATTTTCAATTTGCAACAATTGAAAAAAATTTCTCTGGAATAAATTTTTCAATTTCTTTTTCTCTATTTACAATCAAAGAAAGTGCAACAGATTGTACCCTTCCAGCAGATGGAGAATATATTTTTCTTTGTAATAAAGATGACAATCTAAAACCTAAAATACGATCTAAAGCTCTACGTGCAAATTGTGATTCTACTAATTTTTCATTTAATTTTCCAGGATTTTTAAATGATTTTTTAACAACATTTGGTGTTATTTCATTAAAAATAACACGAAAAATTTTTTTATCTTTAGGTAATATATTTTCTATATGAAATGCAATTGCTTCACCTTCTCTATCAGGGTCAGTTGCTATATATATTTTGTCTACTTTTTTTGCATTATTATATAAATTTTTAACAATAGATTTCTTCTTTTCATCTATTTCAAAATACATTTTAAAAGTTTTAAGGTCAATACCCAATGAGTATTGACCTTTTTTAGATAATTTGTTTATATGACCATTAGATGACAAAACAACAAAATCTGAACCCAGATATTTTGTTAATGCTTTTGTTTTTGTTGGAGATTCTAAAATTACTAATTTCATAAAGTAGTTTATATTAATATATTAGCTTGCTTTTTGAAATTTCTTTTTAAATGTTCGAATTTCACGTGCAGTCAATAAAACAGTATAAGCTTTACCATCAGTTCCAAATATTTTAAATTTTTGAAAATTTGGTTTTCATATACATCTAGTAGCATTTAAAGCTTTTGAACGATTATTTCCAAATAATTTTTTTTTTGTTGATAGTTTTATTGCTTTCATACTATATTTTTTATTCTAAAACTTCAATTATTGATCCAGCACCAATAGTATGACCACCTTCTCTAATTGAGAATTTTGTTCCTTTTTCTAAAGCAACAGGAGAAATTAATTCAACTGTCATTTCAACATTATCACCTGGCATAGCCATTTTTACAGATTCTGGAAGTGTAATTGTTCCTGTAACATCTGTTGTTCTGAAATAAAATTGTGGACGATAATTTGTAAAAAATGGTTTATGACGACCACCTTCTTCTTTTTTCAAAACATAAACTTGTGATTTAAATTTTTTATGTGGAGTAATTGAACCTGGTTTTGCAAGTACTTGACCTCTTTGAACATCTTTTCTTTCAACACCACGTAATAATAAACCAACATTATCACCAGCTTGAGTAAAATCTAGAAATTTTCTAAACATTTCAATACCAGTTACAACAACTTTTTTAGTTGATTCTTTTAAACCGACAATTTCAACTTCTTGATTTAATTTAAGCATACCTCTTTCAACACGACCAGTAACAACTGTTCCACGACCTGTAATTGATATTACATCTTCAACTGACATTAAAAATGGTTTGTCAGTTTCACGTACTGGTTCAGGAATATCTTTATCAATTGCATCAAGTAAATTTTTAATACTTTCTTGTCATTTTAATTCACCTTCTAATGCTTTTAAAGCTGAACCTCTAATAATTGAAGTTTTATCACCATCAAAATCATATTCTTTTAATAGATCTCTTATTTCCATTTCAACTAATTCAAGCATCTCTTCATCTTGAACCATGTCACATTTATTTAAAAAAACAACTAGATTTTTAACACCAACTTGTTTAGATAATAAAATATGTTCACGTGTTTGAGGCATTGGTCCATCAGTTGCTGCTACAACTAAAATTGCACCATCCATTTGTGCTGCACCTGTAATCATATTTTTAATATAATCTGCATGGCCAGGACAATCAACATGTGCATAATGTCTTGTTTCTGTCTCATATTCAACATGTGCTGTATTAATTGTAATACCACGAGCTCTTTCTTCAGGTGCTGCATCAATATCTGAATATCCTACTGATTTTGCTAAATTATCTTTTGATAAAAAAGCTGTAATAGCAGCAGTTAATGTTGTTTTTCCATGATCAACATGACCAATAGTACCAATATTAACATGCGGCTTTGTACGAGTAAATTTTTCTTTTGCCATCTATATTTTCTCCTTTTTAAAAAATTAAAACTTTTTCTTTTATTTTACTTTATTTTTTTTAGTTTTATAAAAATATATATTAATAAACATTATTTAAAATACAAAAATTTATTTAATTTTTTTTAATTCATAAAATAATAGAAATTTTTATCTTTTAAAATCATATGATTTTAATATAAAAAAGATCAATTTATTTAAATTCTTCTATTAATTTTCATTAATCTATTTTAAATAATATCTTTTAATCATAATTTAATATATTTATTTTTGATTAATTTTTACAATTCTTTAATAAATGATTTTTTTAATTTGCTAGTAATTTGAACTTTATTATTATTTTCTAATTTAAATATAAAATAATTTTTAATAAAATTAATTTAAATTTTTAAAGTATATTTGATATCTTTATAAATTAAATTTTCAAATTATACTTTTTTTATTTTTGTTTTTAATACTGTATTAAAATTTTATCTTTTATTTTATAATTTTACTTTAAATTAAGAATTTTTCTTTTAAAATCAAAAAAAAAAAAAAAAATTATTCTCATTTAAATTGTAGTTCTTGTAATACATTTTTGTTTTTATGTCAATCTTTAATAACTTTAACATTTAAAAATATTGTAATTTTTTTATGTCATATTTTATTTAAAATACTTATTGTATTTAAACGAATACTTTTTATTTTTTCTGCTTTTTTACCTATAATTATTTTTTTTCTTGATATTGTATCTACAATTATTTCAATATTTGTAAATATTCCATCATTTTTATCAAATAATTCGATTATTTTTAATGTTGTAAAATATGGTATTTCTTCATTTGTATGTTTTAATATTTGTTCTCTTATAATTTCTTTTATAATATCTTTTTTAGATGATAAACTTATTGTTTCATAGTCTTTTTTAATATTTTTTAAACTATTTTTTGTTGCTTCAATTAAATTTTTAAAGTTTATTTTTTTCTTTGCTGAAATTGGAACAATTGATTGAAAATTATATTTATTTTTTCATTCATTGAATTTTTTCATTACCCTATCTTTTTCAACAAGATCTATTTTATTTATTATTAAAATTACTTTTTTATTTTTTTCTTTTAAATTTTTTAAAAGAATATTCATTTCATTTTTTCATATTTCTTTAATATCAACAACTCATCAAACAATATTACTTAACTGAATAGTTGAAAGTAAGTTATTAAAAAGAATTTTATCTAAAATTGTAACTGTTTTACATAAACCAGGAGAATCTAATAATAATCATTCATTATTTTTTTCTTTAAAAATATATTTAAGTGGAATTTGTGTTGTATTTATTTTTTTTGTTACTGCAGATATTTTTTTATTTAATAAATTATTAAACAATGTTGATTTACCAGAATTTGTTCTTCCAATAATTGCAATTTTATAAGTTTTTTTCATATAATATTTATTTTATATTTTAAAGTCTTTCATATGTTCTAAAATATTATAAAAATAATAATTTTAATAATTAATATTTTAATATTTATTTAATTTTAATAACCATATTTTGAATGATTAGAAATAATTCAACTTCTAACAACATTATCATCAGTATCAATTCAATTACCATATAAAACATCTATACTATTATCACTTGAATTTCATATTACTTTTATTTTTCTAAAAATATATATATTATTAGTACCTAATCTTTTACTTCAAATAAATTCTGCATTTTTTGGTGAATTTGTATCATAAATTCAATTTAATACAATTGTTTTTATTTCTTCATATGTTTTATCATCAAAAGTATCATCACTAAATCAAGAAGGTAAATTAATTGTTTTTTCTTCATTATTATGTATATATTTTGCTTCTTCATTTTCAAAATCAAATGGTAATGTTAATGCAGGATAACCATATTTTTCTGGATTTGGTCCATTTGATTCAAATTCTCATCTATTATTTATATATTTTTCTGCTCATTCATTTTGTTTATCATATGAAATCTCTATATCATTCCTTGAAAGTCATTTTATTTTTATTTTTTTATAAATATATACATAATATGTTTTATTTCCTATTCTTTGTCATATTGTTTTATACAATTTACCTGAATAATAAATAAATTCATTATTTTGTGGTGAATTTGTATCATAAATTCAATCTAATACAGTTGTTTTTATTTCTTCATCTGTTTTATCATCAAAAGTATTATCACTAAATCAAGAAGGTAAATTAATTGTTTTTTCTTCGCCTTGATATATATATGTTGTTTCATGTTGTGTAGATAAATCTTGTTGTGTTTGTCCATGTTGTTGAACTGAACTATCAGGTTGTTCTTGTCCTGGTGTTTGATCTTGTGTTGGAGTTTTTCCTGATTGTTCTTGTGTTTGACCTGAACTATCTAAAGTAGATATTGGATTTGTATTTGTTGGAGTATCAGTTTGTTCTACAGGTTGAGTTGTTGAACTTGAAATATCATCGCCTTGTTGTTCTTGTGTTTGTGTTGGACCATCAGGTTTTGTGTTATCTACTTCTTCAGTTTCTTCTGAATCTACATTTGATTCAGATATTGGATTTGTATTTGTTGGACTATCAGTTTGTTCTACAGGTTGAGTTGTTGAACTTGAAATATCATCGCCTTGTTGTTCTTGTGTTCGTGTTGAACCATCAGTTTTTGTGTTATCTGCTTCTTCAGTTTCTTCTGGATCTACATTTGATTCAGATATTGGATTTGTATTTGTTGGACTATAAGTTTGTTCTTTAGGTTTAGTTTTTGAAATTGAACTATCATCACCTTGTTGTTCTTTTCCTTTTATTTTTTTGGTTGTTTTAGATGTTTTTTTTGTTGATTTATTTGATGTTGTTTTTTTTGATTCAGTTGATAAAAATATAATCATTAAAACTATAGATATAGAAATAACTGAAATAATTGAAATAATTAAAACAATATTTTTTTTGTTTTTTAAGATATTTTTAAATTTATTAATTATTTCTATATTTTTTTCTTTCATTTTTTTATTAAATATTTTATTATTTTAAACAATTTTAATATCATTTCATCAAATACTTATTTTTTTTGTATTGTAATCAAAACTAAAGTATAAAAGTTCATATTCATAAGAAACATAATTTTCTGTTCTCTTTACAAAATTGTCAGAATTCATTATAAATTGCAAAAATTTATTTGGATTTGTTTCAATTCAATTTTTAATTATATTTGGATTTACATTAGGATTATCAAATCAAACAGGTTTTTCTAAATAGTTAGAGTTTGGTAAATATACTTTTTTTCTTTCTTTTAAAACTAATTCTGTATTTAAATATTCTGATCAATCACCATATCAAACTTTTATTTCATTTTCATTAATTCATCTTATTCATATTTTTTTATAAATAGAATCATAAGTTCCAATTTTATATCTATGTAATTTAGTTCAAATAAATTCTTTATTTTGATAGTCATTTTCATTATTGAAAACTCAATTTGATACTATTGATGTTTTTTCTTCATTTAACAAACCATCATCATCAATTGTATGATTTAAAAATGTATCATCATAGAATCAACTTGGAATATTTATTGTTTTTCCATTTATTGTTTCAGTAATAGTATTTTCATGAGAATTTTTATTTAATATTTCATCTTGTTCTTCATTATTATTTACAACTGTTTCTTCTGTTTTTTCTTTATGAATTGATAATTCTTGATTTGGTATTTGATTTTTTTCATTAATTAATGGATAACCAAAATGTTCTTTTTCAGTTTCTGGTTTTGTATTAATGTATGAAGTTCAATCACCATATCAAACAGATATTGTTTCTGGATTTGTTCATTTTATTCATATTTTTTTATAAATATAATCATAATGTCCATAATCTGGTCTTATAGGTGTATATTTATATTGTTTACTTCACATAAATTCTCTATTTTTTTCATTATTCTCATGATTATAAAGTCAATCAAATACAATTTGTTTTTTTTCATTAGTTAATAAACCATCATCATTAATAGTATGATCTACAAATGTATCATCATAGAATCAACTTGGTAATATAAATTCTTCTTCAGATTGTTCTGTTTGTCCTGGTTCTTGTTCATGTGTTTGTATTGAACTATCAGATTGTGTTTTATCTACTTCTTCAATTTCTGCTAAATCTTCATTTACTTCAGGTATTGGATTTGTATTTGTTGAACTTGAACTATCACCATCTTGTTGTTCTTGCGTTTGTCTTGAACTATCAGATTTTGTTTTATCTGCATCTTCAATTTCTTCTGAATTTTCAGGTGTTGGATTTGTATTTGTTGAACTATCATGTTGTTCTACAGGTTGAGTTGTTGAACTTGAAATATCATCACCGTTTTGTTCTTGTGCTTGTGTTGAACTAACAGATTGTGTGTTAGCTACTTCTTCAGTTTCTTTTGAATCTTCATTTACTTCAGGTATTGTTACATCTTTTACATGTGATGAACTTTCAAAAAAAGTTCTTGTAGTTGTAGTTGTTGAACTAACAGATTTTGTGTTATCTGCTTCTTCAGTTTCTTCTGAATTTTCAGGTATTGGATTTGTATTTGTTGAACTTGAACTATCACCATCTTGTTGTTCATGTGTGTGTATTTCATCATTTTCAATATATCCTGCTAATTGTCTTTGTTTATTTGTTTTTAAATAACTAGATCAGTCATCATATCAAAATAATTCATTGTTAGGTTTTTTACCTAATTTATAATGTCTTATTCATATTCTTTTATAAATATAATCTATATAATCATTTGTTTCTTTAAATACTTTTGATTTTATAAATTCTTTATTTTTTTCATTTTCATCTATTCATGCAAAAAATCTTTGTTTTACATCATTTTTATTTAATGTATCATCATCAAATCAATTTGGTATTTCAATTTCTATTGGATTTATTTCAATATTAATACAATCTCATAATGGTAATGTTTTTAAATTATCTATATTTTCATTTCTATTATTTTCAATTACTCTACCATTTACATCATAACCATGTTTAGATCATAAATTACTATCTATTTCATCACTTCAACTATCTCTATATCAAATTCAATTGCCAATTTCTTTTCCTAATTTATAATGTCTTATTTTTATTCTTTTATAAACATAATCAATATATTCATCTGTTTCTTTTAATTTTTTAGATTTAATAAATTCCTTAGCTCTATTACCATGTAAATTTAATCAATTATTTAATTGAAATTTTAAATGTGTATCATCTTGAGAATTTTCGCTATAAAAAAATATAGGAACATAAAAATCTGGTTGTTCATACCCATGTTTAAATCTCAATTTAGGTGTAATCATATATTTTGTAGATCATGGATTATTGAATGAATTATCAGTTCAAAGTCTAGCTTGATTTATTCTTTTTCATTTTCTTACTCATACATTTTTATAAATATAATCAATATATTCATCTGTTTCTTCATATATTTTTGATTTGAAAAATTCTCTATGTTTAATATTTTCATTTATTCATGCTTGAAATCTTGCGCCTATTTCAGATGTTGACAAAAAATTTGTATCGCCCAAAGATTTTGGTCTACTATCAAATCAATCTGGTATATTAATTTCTAATGTTTCTTGATTATAATTACATTCATTTTCTTCTAAATCTTCAACTTTTGTTTCATCTACATCTGTTACTGTAGTTCTTGGATTTTGTCCTGTTTGTTGTACTTGTGTTTGTTCTGATTGTTGTGTTGTAGTAGTTGTTGAACTATCAGGTTCTGTGTTATCTACTCTTTCATTTTCTACTGAATCTACATTTGATTCAGTTGTTGGATTTGTATTTCTTGAACTATCAGGTTGTTCTGTAGGTTGAGTTGTTGAACTTGAACTATCATCAACTTGTTGTTCTTGTCTTTGTCTTGAACCATCAGGTTCTATGTTATCTACTTCTTCAGTTTTTTCTGAATTTTCAGGTATTGGGTTTGTATTTGTTGGACTATCATGTTTTTTTGTAGGTTGAGTTGTTGAACTTGAAATATCATCACCTTGTTGTTCTTGTGTTTGTCTTGAAACATCAGGTTGTATGTTATCTGCTCTTTCATTTTCTACTGAATCTACATTTAATTCAGGTGTTGGATTTGTATTTGTTGAACTATCAGGTTGATCTACTGGTTGAGTTGTTGAACTTGAACTATCATCTCCTTGTTGTTCTTGTGTTTGTCTTGAACTATCATCTCCTTGTTGTTCTTGTGTTTCTCTTGAACTATCAGTTTGCATGTTATCTGCTCTTTCATTTTCTACTGAATCTACATTTAATTCAGGTGTTAAATTTTTATTTCTTGAACTATCAGTTTGATCTACAGGTTGAGTTGTTGAACTTGAACTATCATCACCTTGTTGTTCTTGTGTTTGTCTTGAACCATCAGGTTGTATGTTATCTACTTCTTCAGTTTCTTCTAAATCTACATTTGATTCAGGTGTTGGATTTGTATTTGTTGAACTATCAGGTTGCATATTATCTACACTTTCAGTTTCTTCTAAATCTACATTTGATTCAGGTGTTGGATTTGTATTTGTTGAACTATCAGGTTGCATATTATCTACACTTTCAGTTTCTTCTAAATCTACATTTGATTCAGGTGTTGGATTTTTATTTCTTGAACTATCAGTTTGATCTACAGGTTGAGTTGTTGAACTTGAACTATCATCTCCTTGTTGTTCTTGTGTTTCTCTTGAACTATCAGTTTGTATGTTATCTGCTCTTTCATTTTCTACTGAATCTACATTTAATTCAGGTGTTGGATTTGTATTTGTTGAACTATCAGGTTGCGTATTATCTATACTTTCAGTTTCTTCTAAATCTACATTTGATTCAGGTGTTGGATTTGTATTTGTTGAACTATCAGGTTGATCTACAGGTTGAGTTGTTGAACTTGAACTATCATCTCCTTGTTGTTCTTGTGTTTCTCTTGAACTATCAGTTTGCATGTTATCTGCTCTTTCATTTTCTACTGAATCTACATTTAATTCAGGTGTTGGATTTTTATTTCTTGAACTATCAGTTTGATCTACAGGTTGAGTTGTTGAACTTGAACTATCATCACCTTGTTGTTCTTGTGTTTTTCTTGAACCATCAGTTTTAGTGTTATCTGCTCTTTCAGTTTCTACTGAATCTACATTTAATTCATGTGTTGGATTTGTATTTGTTGAACTATCATGTTGTTCAGTAGGTTGAGTTGTTGAACTTGAAATATCAGTTTGTTCTTGTGTTGGAGAATGTGCTTGTTTTTGTACTTTTTTTTGAATTAAATCAATAAATTTTTTATTTTTTTTAATATATTTTTTTATTTCTGTTTTTTTATTATTGTTATTTAATTTTGGTAAATTGATAGTTATTAAAATTATAATTATAAAAATAATACTTGAAATTACAAAAAATATAATCATTTTTTGTTTTTTTGTAATATTTTTTTTATATTTTTTCATTTCTCAATAATTTATAATGTTATCTTTTTTTTTTTTTTTTTCAAGTACTTTTTTTAAAAAAAAAAATAAAAAAAACAATTAATAAAACAATAAATTTTTAATTTATATATCAATTATTTTTTATATTTAATATATTATGTTTTTAATATCATTTTATTCTTGATTTTATTGATTTAATATTAAAATTTCTATTATTATTTATTTTTAATTTTCAATTAAATCAATAAAACAATTTAATAATTTTTATTTTTATTATGTAAATATTTAAATAAATTATTCCATTAATTTTTTTTGAATCATTTTCATATTAATAAAATATTTTAATCTGTCTTTAATATCTTTTTAAATTAATTTATCAAAAAATTTTTTAAATAAATTTATCAGTATTGAATTGAATTTTTTTATCAATTACAACTGTAAAATAAATATGATTTTTAATATTATTTGCAATAATTATATTTTTTTAAACAATACTAATTAAAATTGAAATTCTTTTTATTTCAAAATACACAATTTATTTTTGTTTTTAAAACACAATTTATTATCTCATTAATTTTTATTTTATAAATAATTTTAAAAATCATCTACAATTTACTTTTTAAATCAATTGATTTAAATCTAATAAAAATAAATAATTCAATAACTATTTTAATGTTATATAACTATTTGAAATTTTTTTAAATTTATTTTTTGATTTTATATAATTCTTTATCAATGAAAATTTCTAATAAAACTTTAATTTCTAATCTATTAAAATATCAAATAATAAATTAAATTTTTTAAATTAACTTTTAAATTTAAATATCCTAATAATTTTTAGATTTAATATATTTTTAAATATAAATATAACATTAAAATTAAAATTTAAAATTATTTTTATTTTTATTCAAACTTGTTTAAATAAATCTTTTTTAAATTTTTCATTAGTTACATTTTAAATAGTTTTCATAATATTAATTTTTAAATGATTGTTGTTTATAGTTTAAAAAAATATTTTAAATCATTTAAATCACTTTTTATATAAATCAAGTTATATATTCTTTACCATCCAAAGTGTTAAAATTAGATAATATTGTTTCTTTAACTTTTCAAACAAAAATTATATCTTTAATTTCAAAATAAACTTTTTCAAAAACTTTTTAAAATAATTTGGCTTATTTTTAATCAAAATTTAATTATATTTTTAATTTAAATACTGAATCATAAATTAAATTATTGCATTTATCTTTTACAAATTTAATAATTTACATTTAATTTTATTAAAATAATCTTATTTATTTTTATATCAATTTTATTTATTTAAATTCATTAATTTTATATAAAACTTTAATTTAAAAAAATAATTATTTCATAAATAAATTCATAAATTTACTTTTTATAAATTTTTTTAAATAATTTAAAATAAATTATTTAAATTTTTTATATTTTAATAAAAAATAAAAACAAAATTTAAAAAAAATAAAAATTAAAAAAATAAAAAAAGAACCCTATAATTATAGGGTTCTTTAAAAATTAAATTAAAAAATAATTATTTAACTTTTTTTAATTCATCAACTAATTGACCAGTTTCTCCTTCAAGATCAGCTGATTTTAATGTAGAAACAATATCAATTTTTTTAAATTCTTCCATTAATTTTTCTTGAATTATTTTCATATTAATAGAACCTTTTAATTCATCTGAAATATCTTTGTTTTCAATTAATTTATCAATTTCTGATTTTAATGAAGTTTTAATAGCATCATTGAATTGAACTTTTTTATCTGATGATCCAACTGTAAAATCAGCATGATTTTTAACAGCATTTGCAAAAATCATTCTAATTTTGTTATTAACACCACCAGGAATTGAAGTAAGTTTTAATAAAACTGCACCTTTTATTTTTGCTTGTGAAGCATTATCAGCTGTTGCAACTGTTTTTGCAGCATTAGCATCTGACACATCTAAACTATCTATTTTTGTTTTAGCTTCAACAAAATCAGAAAAATCAATACCTTCTGTTGTTACATATTGATCTGAAATTGCTCTTACTGCAACAACATTAGGATTTGCATCAATTTCTGTATCTACTGGTTTTGTTAAAGTAGGTATTTTAATTGAACCTAATAATTCTTTACCAATTACAAAGTTTAATAATAATTTAACTTTTTCTGCTGAAATTGTACCTGCTGAAATTGTACCTGCCATTGTATTAGTTAAAGCTATTTTTGAAGTTAAATATCCTAATAATTTTGTATATTTAGCATGATTTGTATTAACTTGAAAACTACCAATCAATTTTACTTTTGCTCAAACTTTTTTAATAGCATCTTTTCTCAATTCATCATCTGTACCAGAAATTGATGCTGTAGTTGCATTAAATGAATTAATTAATGTTTTTACACTTTCTAAATCACTTTTTTTAAATGAAATTTTATATGCATTACCATCACTTGTATTAGCAGCATCTAATGTTCCAGCATCAACTGTTCCAGAAAATAATGTTTCTTTATTTTCAAAATAAACTTTTTTAATAACTTTTTCAAATAATTTGTCTCATTTATCATCACCAGTTAATTCTGTTTTTACTGTAAAATCTGAACCATCATCTTTTGTATCTGCAGTTTTAACATCATATAATTTTTTAATTAAATCAATATTAAATGAATTATCTTGAATAATTTTATTAATGTATTTTTTGTCTTCATTTTTTATTTTGTTTAATTTAAAAAATTTCAATATATCAAATGATGCTTGTCTTGATGCAAAATCATCATCACTTTCTGCTTTAGTAGATTTTGTACCATCTAATTTAATTCCTTCATCACCTTTTTTAATGTCATTTGAAGTATCAAGTTCATAATATTCAAATGATGCACGATCTACAAAAGCTTGAAAACTATTTTTTAATGTATTTAAATCATTTTTAAATGCTTTTTTTGTATCATCTGCTAATCACATTAATTTTTGATTATTTGAAAATCCTTTTAATCAATCTTCTAATAATTTTTTATATTTTGTAACAAATTCTTTTTCAGATTTAAAAATACCAGTTTCATCATCAGTACCAGTTTTTTTATAACCAATTATATTTTTTACTATATCTAATGTAAATTTATCTTTAATTAATTTTAAAGCTGATGTATATTCATCTTTATTATCAATTACATTTGAATCAAGTAAATCATTTAATTTAGTTTTTGCAACTTCAATAATTTCTTCTTTTAATACTTTAATTTTATTATCATCTGCTGTGCTTTCATAACCTGCTTTATCTATTAATTTAACATCAGAAATTTTAGATAAAACTTCATCACTATTTAATACTTCTTTAGTAAATAAATCCATAAATTTATTTGATGAAGTTGTTAATTTGTCTTCACTTGATTGAGTTTTTTGATTTGAAACAACAATAAGTCCAACTGTTAAACCAACAATACCTAATAAAGATATAGCTAAAGAAATATCTCTAATTTTATTTTTACTATTCATTTTTTTTATATCTCCTCTTATTTAATTTTAAAAAACTTTATAGTTTTTTTAAATATTTAAAATAATTATATAATTAATTTATTTTAATATACAAATTTTTTTTTATTGTTTTTTATAATGTTTATAAAATATATTTTTTAGTTAAATTTTTATTATTATAAATTTTATAAATATTTATTATAAAAAATAAATTAATTACTTATATAATAACAAAAAAAAATAAAAATTAAAAAAATAATAGATATATAAAAATTAAAAAAAATATAATTATAAAATAAATAAATTTATAAATATTTAAAAAAATATATTAAAAAATTGTTATTATTTTAATTTATTGTTTTATTAATTTTATAATCCATAAATTAAATAATATAAATAGTAATTTTTAAAATGAATAAAAAAATGAATAATAATATTTATGGAAAAATTTATAAATAATAAAAATTGTTACTTTAAATTAATAAAATATTTTAATAAAAATTATTTGATTATAAATTTAGATATATAAAAATATTTTTTAATAATCATTATAAATTTTTAAAATTTAATTTTTAAATCTTAAGATTTTATATTTTTAAATGTTTACTTTTATTGAAAATAATAAAAAACATATCTATAAATTTATTTAATATTTATTAAAATATTATTATGAAACAAATACCATTAAAAGTTTATTCATATTATAATTTTTTAAATTCAACTATATCGTTTAAAAAATATATTGAATTTTTAAAAGAAAATAAAATAGAAATTGCACCACTATTATCTAAAGAATCAGTTTTTGGTATATATAAATTCTTTAAATTATGTAAACAAAATTCATTAAAACCAATAATAGGAACAACATTTTCAAATATAAAAATAAAAAATAGAAATATAGAAATAACAATATTACCAAAAAAAATAGATGGATATAAAAATATGAATTATTTATCATCTATTTCAATGAATATAAATAATAAAGAAATAAAAATAGAATATTTAAAACAAAATTACAAAGATATCATTGTAATTGTTTCATTAAATAAAAATATAAATCTAAATAATTTTTTTGAAATAAAAAAAGAACTTATTTTTTTAAAAGATTTATATTGAGGAAAAAATGAAAAAACAGAAAATAATTTATTTAAAAATATTTTAAAAGATAAAGAAATAAAATTAATTGATTTTAAATCTGTAACAGTTTTAAAAAATTCAGAAAAAGAATTTTTTAAAATTTTACAAAAAATAAAAAATCCAGAAAAAATATTAAAAAATAATTTAAATATTTTTTCTTTTTTTGAAACATTCAATGAATACAATGAAAATATAAAAAAAATTCTAATAAAAAATCAAAATGAATTAATATCAAAAATAAATTTAGAAATACCAATAGAAAAAAAATTACGATTAAATAATTTAAACAATAATTTAAATTTAGATCCTTATAAAACATTAGAAAATATTTGTTTTAAAAAATTAAAAGAATTAAAACTTAATAAAAGTTATAAAAAAAGATTAATCAAAGAATTAAAATTAATAAAAGATAAAAACTTTTCTAATTATTTTTTAATAGTAAAAAATTATATTGATTTTGCAATTAAAAATGAAATTATTGTAGGACCAGGAAGAGGATCTGCACCTGGTAGTTTAATTTGTTATCTTTTAAATATTACAAAAATAGATCCAATAAAATATAATCTTTTATTTGAACGTTTTTTAAACAAAGAAAGAATAGAACTTCCAGATATTGATACTGATTTTCAAGATAATAAAAGAAATGAAGTAATTAAATATATATTTAATAAATATCAAAATAATAATGTTGGATTAATAAGTACTTTTCAAAAAATAGGAATTAAATTAGCTATAAGAGATGTTGGTAGAGCTTTGGGTATAAATTTAAATGAAATATCTGAAATAACAAAAAAAATATCTTTATTTTATGCTGATAATTTAGAGAAAAATTTAGAAAATTCAATAGAATTAAGATACAAAAAAGAAAAATTTCCAAATCTATTTAAATATGTAAAAAAAATTATTGGATTTCCAAGACAACAAGGAATTCATGCAGCAGGTATAGTTATTTCAGATATAAATTTAAATTATTTAACTGGTACTTGAAATGATGGTTTAAATACAATAATTCAAATGGATATGAAATTAATTAAAGATTTTGGTTTAATTAAAATGGATATTTTAGGTTTAAGAAATTTAACACTAATTTCAAATATTTTAAATAAATTAAATGTTAATAATGAAAAAAATAAATATTTAGAAAATATCAAATTAAATGATAATAATACATTTCAACTACTTAAAGAAGGAAAAACTAAAGGTATTTTTCAATTAGAATCAAGTGGAATGACTGAATTGATAAAAAAAATAAAACCTAAAGAAATAGAAGATATTGCATTAACAATTTCTTTATTTAGACCTGGCTCAATAAAATATATTGATGATTTTTTAGAAAGAAAAAATAAAAATATTAAATATAAAAATTTAATTCCTGAATTTTATGAAATATTAATTCAAACACAAGGAATTCCTATTTTTCAAGAACAAATAATTAAAATGGTTCAAATTTTTTCTGGTTTATCTGCAGAAAAATCAGACATATTAAGAAGAGCAATATCAAAAAAAAACCAAATTCTTTTTGACACTTTTAAAAATATTTTTTATAAAAAATCAAAAGAAAATAATCGTTCAGAAGAACTAATAAATAAAATTTGAAAAATAATAATACAATTTGCTAAATATGGCTTTAATCGTTCACATGCAATGGGTTATTCTTTTATTTCATACTGAATGGCTTATTTAAAAACAAAAAATTTTAATTTATTTTTCACTCAATTATTAAACAGTGTTATTGGTGATGATAAAAAAACATATTGTTATTTAAAAATATTAAAAAAAAATAATATTTTAATAAATCTACCATGTATAAATAGAAATATTTTTAAATTTATTAATAAAAAAAACGAAATATTTTTACCATTAATAATTATTAAAAAAATTAATATTAATTTTTACAATAATTTAAAAAAAGAAAGAGAAAAAAATAAAAATTTTAAAGATATATTTGATTTTTTTGTAAGAATGAGTAAATATAATTTAACAAAAAATATTTATTTTAATTTAGTTTATTCAGGATCATTAGATTCTTTTAATATAAAACGTTTAGATTTGATAAAAAATTATGAAAAACTAAAACTTTATTTTAATACAATAAATATAAAAAAAACAAATCAAGTAGATTTTTCAATTATTGAAAAACCTAAATTACAAATTTATAATGAAAAAGAAAAAGATGAAAATTTATTCTTAAAAGAAGAAGAAGTTTTTGGATTTAAATTAAAATAAATATTTTTAACCTTGAAATGGCAGGAGTAGCAGGAATTGAACCCGCACATATGGTTTTGAAGACCATTGTTCTACCATTAAACTATACTCCTAGAAAAATTTATTAATAATTTATTAATAATTATATATTTTTATTATAAATTTTACATTTCTTATTATCATTATAATGTTCTACTATTAATTTAAAAAATAAAATGTTAATTATTTCAAATCAATGTTTCACTTTCATAAATATCTATTAATTTATAAATAACATTTTTAAAATCATGTTTAATAAACATAATTTCAGCATTTAAAATTTTATTTCTACTAAAATCATTATTAAATCTAAATTTATTTACTCTTACAAATAATTCATCAATAATACTTTTTAAAAAAATAGATTCTTTTATATCTTTTTTTAAATTTCTAATTTCTGAAAGAATATTATTGTATTTAAAAATTAAATTTATTTGTTGATCATTTGATGATAATTGTTCTTTTTTAAAAAGCAAAAAATCTTTCATTATTTTATTAAATCTATTAAAAAATATATTTTTAATATAAATATATTGTGGTTTTAAAAATAATGATTCAATATTTAATAAAGTTAAAAACATTTCATTGTTTTTTTCTTTTTCAGTATTAAAAAAATTAATCATTCTAGGTAAATTTTTAAACAAAATAATTAAATTATCAGATAAATGTTCAATTTTTAATAAATCTTCATTTAAAAAGTTTTTAAAATTTATTTCTTCTTTATCAATAATTAAAAAATCAATTTCTTTTTTAGTTTCTAATAATAATTTTTTAAAATTTTTAAATTCATTTTTTTGAAATCTAGTAAAAAAATTACTATATTCAAAATTTTGAATTAAATCATTAAATTTTAAAAATTCTGTTTGTAATATATTAAATTTATCAATTATAAATTCAAATGAATCAACAAATAATTTATTTAAATTATCAATATTTTTTACTTGATATATTTTATTTTCTAAATCAAAAATTAAATTTAATAATATATCTTTTGTTTCAAATGGGACAAAATTACAAATTTTATTAAAAATTTGTATATTTGTTTTTTGAAATTCTCTATTTAATTTTTGAATTAATGAAATATAATTTTGTTTTTTATTTAAATCAATTAAATTTAATAATTCATTTTGTTTTTCTTTTAATAATTCAAATAATGAAATAGTTTTTATTCAAATAATTAATTTTTCAGAAAAATGAATTACTTCATAATTCATTTCATATAATCTTTTTTTTATTTCAAAATAATTTAGTTTATAAATTTCAGATTCAAAAATTCTTAAATTTTCTAAAATTAATTTTATTTTAATTTTTAAAAAATCAATATTAATTTCAAAATTTAAATTTAATTTATATAATTCTTCAAATAATTTATCTAAAATTAAATTTAATAAATCTATTCTTTCAAAAACAATATTTTCAATTGCAAAAGTTATATTTAATTCTTCACTATATTTATTAATTAATTCATTGTTTTTTTCAAAATCATTATAAATATTAAATATATTTGAATTTTCAATAATATTTAAATTTAAAGATTCTTTTTTTGTTTCAATATTTAAAACTTCAATAAATCTTTTTATAATTAATGTATTTTTTTTAACAATAAGATCTATATATTTATAAAATAAATAATTATAAATCTTTAAATATTCTTTATTTTTTAATGAAAATTTTTTAATTTCTAACAATTTATTTAAAAAAAATGGAGATTTAAAAATTTCTAATTCATTTATAAATTTATTTATTTTTTTAAATTTATTTATTTCAAAAATTAATTTCATTAAAAACAAAAAATTTAATAATGAAACAAAAATAAATAAAAAAATAATAGTTATAGTTAATGCAGACATATTTAAAAAAATTATTTATATTTAAATATAAACAAGTTATAATATTATTATAAAATATTAAAAATTATTATGTCTAGATACTTAGGACCAATTTATAAAAAATCAAAAAAATTAAATTTTTCAATTTTAGAAAATCATAAAGAATTTGTAAGAGTAAAAAAAACTAAAAGACCTGTAAGACAACCAAGAAAATCAGGTTTTGGTTTACAATTATCAGAAAAACAAAAATTACAATATAGATATAATTTATCAGAAAAACCTTTAAGAAATCTTTTTAAAAAGATTATTAAAATGAAAGGTAATAAAATGGATAATCTTTTAGCAACATTAGAAAAAAGATTAGACAATATTGTTTTTAGAATGGGTATAGTTTCAACAAGAAAAGCAGCAAGACAACTTGTAAATCATAATCATATACTTGTAAATAATAAAAAAGCTTCTATTCCTTCAATTATTTTAAAAGTAAATGATATTGTAACTATTAAAAAAGATAAAATTAAAAAATTAGAAGTAATAAAAGAATCATTTAAAAAAGCTGGAAACTTTAATTTTATTGAATTAGATAAAAATAATTTTTCTGCTAAATTAATAAAAGAACCAAAAAAAGAAGATATTAAAAATGATATTAACTTAGCTTTAGTTAATGAATATTACAACAGATTTATTTAATATTTAATAAATATATTTTTTTAAAAAAAGACTATAAAAATTTATAGTCTTTTTTTATTAATTATTTGTTTTTCATATTATCTTTAATAACTTCAACAAATGATGAAGATCTTAAAACTTCTAATTTTGTATTTGAAAAACGAAATACATTTTCAAGTTCATCCATTGTATATGGTGAAATAATAAAAGTTATTTTATTTTCATTAAAACGTTTAGAAAATAATGGAAAAAGAAAATCATCTCTAATACTTGATGAACAATTCCCCATCCCAAAATTATCAATAACTAATAAATCAATTTCAAAATATTTTTTAAACAAATCATTAGAATTTGTCTTTCATGTATTTTTAATATTCATTATTAAAGTTCTTTCATCAATAAATGCAACTTTAATTTTTTTCTTCTTTATTAAATGAATACAAGTTATTACTGCTGCTTTTTTACTATAAACTTCTTTATTTTGACTGTAAAAATAAATATTTTCAACTAAAAAATCTTTTGAATTTGTTTTAAAATTATCATTAAATGAAATTGTTTTTTGTTTGGTGTTACTTAAATTTATATTAAAATCTAATTCTTTATTTATTATTCAATTCTTAGGAAAAGATCTTTCAATAAAACTAGATAAAATAAAATTTTCATTATAAATTGGATGTATACATCTTTTTAATTCTATTGTTGTTACTCCATATTTAGAAAATTTTAATTTTTTTCTAAAAAATTTATATGTTTGTTTACATTCAGAATCAACATTTTTACATAAATTAAAAGAATAAAGATACTCTAATAATAAACTTTTTAATTCATTTATTTTTGAAAAATCATAATTAAATTTATTTAATTTATTTATATAATTTTTAAATTCTAAATTGTTAATGTAACTATTTTTTAATATTTCTTTTTCTTTATTATCTTTAATTGCTTCAAAAAACTTTTTATTAAACATATAATATCTCTTTCACTAAGTTTTTTATTTTATTATTAATATTATTATCATTTTTTTCACTTTTTGATAAATTAATTGAAATTTTTTTATTAAATGAATTTTCTTTTAATCAATTTGGTGTTTTGTGATTTTGAATTAAATAATGATTTACTGATAAATTTTCATATATTTCAACAAAATGATTTATTATTTTTTCTTTATTAAATAAAATGCATCTATTATTAAGATCTTCAACTAATTTAATTATATAATTTACTTCTATTCTTTTTCCACAATTTCTAAATAATACATAATCAATTATAATTTCTAAACAATTTTTAGGTATATTGTAATTTAAAATTAATTTTTTATATAAATTTAATTCCTTTATTTTAAAATTGTAATTCAATTCTTTTAAAAAATCTGTATTAATTTCAATTTCTTTATTATTTTGTATTTCTATATTTTTAATTTCTTTAATTTTTAATTTAAAATTTGTTTTTTGTTCATTATTTAAATTTTCATCTTTTTGATTATAATTTTTTGATAATTTAATATATATGTTTTCAAAAGATTTTTTAGAAATATTTTTCATTAATTTTTTATAAAATTCATTATCTTTAAATAATTCATTAATAAATTTAGGTTTTTTCAATATTATTTCTGAAGTTTCAAAATCAAAATTTTGAATTATCAATAAATCATATTTTATTAAACATTCTAAACTTTCTTCAAATTCTAATTGATTTAATTTACAAAACTTAAAAATATCAGTTTTTAACATTTTTTTATTTTTTTTAGAAAAATTTTTTTGAATAATAAAAAATCTGTATAAAGATATTGTATTTAAACCTAAAATTGGTTGATAAACAAATGTTAATATTTGTTCTTCTAATTGTGTTAAAAGTATTGATAAATCTATAAAATAATATTTTTTTATCAATTTATTGTTATTTTGAAATAATATATTTAATGTCATATAAAAAAATTTTAAAGATTTTTTTTAGAATATAAAAATATTTTTTTTAATTAACAATAAAATCACAAATTAAAAAATATTTTTTTTAATTATTTTATATATTAATTAATATAATTAACATTAAATTTATTTTTTTAAAAATTATTATTTTTTATTATTTTTTTAAAAATAATAATTTAAAAAATTAAATATTCTATTAAAAATTTAAATAATTATTTTTTTAAATTATTATTAAATTTTTTATTTAAACAAAAAAACTTAATTCAATCTTAAAATTCACTGGCATCTTGTTATTTTCCCGATAAATCAGTATCTTCACCGTTAAATTGTTTAACTTCTCTGTTCGGAATGGAAAGAGGTGGAACCAACTTGCTATCAACACCAGTGAATTATAAAATTAAATTAAGTTTTAATTCTGTAAAAATCAATGTTCAAATTTAAATAGATAACATTACATAAAAAATAATAAAAAAATTGTGGACAATTAGTACTAGTCAGCTAAATACATCACTGTACTTACACCTCTAGCCTATCAAACTCATAGTCTATAAGTTGTCTCATATGGAAATCTAATCTTTAGGCCGACTTCGTGCTTAGATGCTTTCAGCACTTATCCGATTTATACATAGCTACCCAGCGATGCTCTTGGCA